TGTATTACATGAAATTTTTAATGAAAATTTATTTAGATATAAAACATTTCAAATTATTCGTGGAGATCTTCGACTTCCATGGAATGAAGATCAAATTAGTCGTGAACATTTACCATTTAAAACACCTGAACAACTTAAACTGTAAGATATTTAATAAGACTTTTACCAAAAAAAACCGTACTCCTGATCTCAGGTGTTTTTCAAAAGTATAGTAGAAATTCTCTCGTCAATAATAGAATAGATGAAGTTTTGTAAAATATAACTTTTATAGGAAAGTGACAATTAGGCGAGATCAATTGGTCGCATATTGGACAGCAGTATGGCTTCCAAGTCACTTCTTATAGATCTCAATTTGCAGATATGTGATTCAGTCATATACGGTACCACACAAGGATGAGGGTGACATATGAACAATGATGATTTACCTTTTGAAATGGATTCGTAGATGACTTCGCCGGTAAACAGTAATTGAATATCTCCATTCACATTTTTAACTTATCAAAATGTTAGGAAAAGATGAGAACTATATTTATTGTCGACTAATGCAAACCACAACAGACAGAATAGAGAGTTGGAGATCTTCGTCTTTGTGGACTCGGGTTCATTCTGGTCTTGATCCGAGTTTTTTTCTACCAATATCTAGCACTTTTTTGTGTGCATAAACAGTGAAAGATTAAGATTTTAACTAGTTACTAGCTACTCTCACAAAACAGTAGACATACAATTATTTCTTGTTATTTTCTTTTGTATCAGTCAATGCTGAATAAGTTGGAAGCTTTTGTTTGTGAAGAAACCTTTTCAGCTGTTCCCTTCTGAATTCAATGACTCTTTTGTTCATAGATACTACATAGTGGTCTAATAAAAACTCCGAAAGACTTTAAGTTCCTGTTGAGATTCGACTGAGACATAGAAATTTTTGCTAGAAGTCCTAGGTTTTCGAAAAGCTCGTATTTTAGAATTTCGATGTAAAGCTTTGTGCGTATATAGAACTAATTAATATTAGAACATTATGCAGTACATGTAAGCAAAAGGCATTATTGAAATCGGAAGGGGCAACTGAAAAGGTTCTCTTGTTAGTAGAAAAGAGGATTATATTGATAAAAAAAAAGAAAATTAAACAGTTAATTGATAAACAAATCTTTCATTGAAAAATCATCAAATCAATACTAATATTATAACCTTCAGCTATCTAGAATACTTTTAGTTGTATCTGTGTAAACGAGATCAAGCAAGTAGAAAGTTTCAAATAACGAAAAACTTTAGAGGATTATAAGACAATATCAATACTCATATTTAATATTTCTTGTCCTTGGAATAGGTTGTTGATTATTTTCTAAACATTTATGTGTTCATTGCCCATAATGTTAAAAAAAATATTTTTGCCGATTCTGGTTTTTAGGATTCCGACTAATTTTCATACACAACAAAACATCATAGTTAAAATCTTTCTAGTGTTTTCTTAGTTCTAAAGTGGTTTATTAATAGCTCGAAATATGCCTACGTAGATTGTTTATCTTTATCGTGGTTTATTGTAACCGCTGATTTTGTACATTAGGATTCACATACCACTATTATTTGTCCTTAAGAACTAATGTTAACAAATCGATAAAAATCTGTTAGACATATATTATCTCTTTAGAACATTTATGTCTTCATCTTGAAAACTCACAATAAATTAGAAAGAACTATTCGAAAATAGACATTTGGTTTTCATCGGTTTTTTTTTGCTTTTATATAAAAATAACAGACATACCAAAATTAGTAGTAGTAAGCACTATAATACTTAATAGAAAGCTCAATACAATTCTCTCTATACATACATGCTAATACTTCAAGCAGTGCTCTTTAATTCTATAATATTTCACTATTCCTCAGTGGGTATGGTTCTACAAGAATTTTGATCACAGGTATTCATCACTAATTTACGTGGATGAGAAAACCTTTTACTTCTATATTCAAGTCCGTACTGTACAGCACATTCCAAACGAGAACGAATCATGATGAACGACATTTTGTTTTCAGCGATCAGGTGTCACCTTTCCGAGCACAATTTAAAAATAAAAGACATCGTTGCATGAATGGGAAACCACGAGATCTGTAATTCAGACCATATCTTTCATGATCATCCGCTAAGTGAGCTGTTGTGACACATATCGAGTAGTAAGTTGACAATGATTGAAGATGATTCATTGAATGGCGTCACGACTCAGATCCGTTTGCACTTGCAATAGATAATATAAGAATCATCATTAATAAGGAAATGGATCTGTTTGATATTGTCAGATATTATTCGGTTACAGATCCATCGCATCACGCTTAGTCTTCCAGCTATTATCCACTTTCACGAAGCTATTGATATCATCTTTCAAATGCTTTTAGAGGTGAAACTCGGTAGTCAAAAACAAAATATAGTGTAGTGCGAAGTTAAACATAGGAGCGAATGTTTTCCTTATGCATCTCAATCAATGATAAATAGCTTTGTTCAAAATTCGAATAGTGCTATGCTAGCTGAAGAATATATTACTTTGGAATTTTACAACAAGTATATTTTTTATTTTCAATTTAGTTATCAACAAGCAATTGATCTTGAAGCAGAATATAATCAATTGGAAGAATCTAAAAATACTGACGAATTAATTAAATTCTATGAAACATACAATAAACAATGGCGTGCAACGATTGATTCATCTACTGAAAAGTATATTCTTAATAGCATGTTGAAATTTTTAAAAACTATGCTTAGTCAGAAAAATAAATGAAATGATCAGTGTTTAATTGACACTAATATCCGAAAAAAAAATTCATTGGCGAGTCTATCGTTTTTTCTTTTCTCAGTAATCGACATTATTTTTCCTACTGATGATGGTTTGAAATATTTCCAATGAATAACATGTTTGCATACATAATTCTTGAGAATGTATGTGTGAGCCTTTAGTTCATCCATCTACACGACATAGCAGAAGGAAAGAAAAAAGTCAATAAGATGAGAAAACAGTTCGAATTTATTTTGGTTACTGTTTAATTAAATTTACTAATTATTCCTTTATTTTACTAACAATTTCATTTATTCTGCTGATCACTTAAATGATAATTTTTTTTTTCAGCGAACAATTACCTGGTTATTTTCGTCGTTTATCACCTGATTATGTTCGTGCTCGTATTCTCTCTTATTTAACTGAAGTATTACAACGAGCTCGACGTTATGATGAATCAATTGAATTAATTCAATATTTACTGAGTATATTCAGTTTGTTATTATTTATTTCAAAATATTAATTGATTCCATTAGTCTAGATCGAGCAACATATAATCGTCATCGTCGTGGTAAATTATGGAATCGTTTAGCACTTATACAAGAAAACTATATTAAAATAAATGGTCATCAACAATGTTTAAATACAATATATGAAGCATTACAAGATCCACATGTTAAATTAGGTGATCGTCTTGCATTGTGTGAACGAGCAAGAAAATTATATTCACGACCAAAATCAAAAGGAATACTTCAAGCAGAATGGATAACAAATGAAGAAGAAAATTTAATGTGGACTATATCTATGCCAAAAGAAGTTAGATTTAATAATAAAACCAAAAAAAAAACGCAAAAGAAAATTCTTTTTTTCTTTTTTTTGTTTTAATAAATTAGGTAGAAGTTACTGGATGTCTATTAGCAAATGATGCTCGAATGGGCAAAGTAACATATACAATACAAGATCCAAATGATGGTTCAATTCAATTTTGTACTGTTGAACAATTAGCTATTAATCATTATCGAACAAAAGAAGATTATACTTATGGTTAAATTTGCTTGTTTTTTTCTTCCTCTCGTTATTAATATAAATCTTGTTAAAATTTAATATTTAAGGTATCCATTCGGAAGGAGCTGTTATGCGAACATTAATTGGTCTTTTATTTCTTGATTTAATTTATACATTACCAACACCTGATTTACTTATTGATATATTTCAAACAGAACCACTTGATTTTCATACAGATGCTTTTTATAAATCTCGTCAAAATCAAATTGATGAACGGATTAGTCAACTGAATTCTGAAGAAGTAAGAAAAATCTCGAAACATTTCAGCATACGTATAGTTCTTATGAAATGTTTAGCTATAATAATATATGACAAGCACGTCGTTTTATTTGTGTAAATTTTTGCTTTGAATGAAACATACGTTTAGGAGATGTGTCGAGTCAAAATCACCAATGAAAAAAAAAATGATTACATAGCCTTATAAAAACGTTCACTACATTAAATTGAAATTGATCCGTCACAGCTGGAGATCTTATCTCATAAATAATTAATATTATCTTTAGAATATACAAGAAATTGCTGAAAAGAATTGGAATATGTATAATTTAACCATGAGTTCAGTTGTAAATTGGGAATTGTTTCCAACAAAATCAACATTATTAGTAAGAAAATAAATAAATATTAATGCTTATTTTCTAAGAATAACTTTTATAGAGTGCTTTAAAATGTTTAACATCAGAACAAATTCAATCAATATCAACGTATACATTTGTACATAATCGAGCAATATGGAAAGGTTTTCCTGATTTATTCGTATGGAATCCAATAATAAAAAAATGCAAAGTAAATTAAAAAATAAATTTTTATTAAGGATTTTTATTTTTGTTGTCAATTAGTTTGTTGAAGTCAAAAGTCATAATGATCGACTTTCATATCATCAAATAGTCTGGCTTGATACATTAGTTAAATTTAAAATTGATTGTGAAGTATGTAAAGTTAGTGGTAAGTTGATTTTTATATAAAAATATTTTCAATTGGGGAAAATTTCTTTTTGTATTTAAGCAATAGGTTCAAAAAAATCATTACAACGGACGCCATCGACAATTGAATTAGATTAAACTTTCTTTGTTTTTCTTTTTTTTTGGTTATTTAAATAAATAAAAATTTCATTCTTAAATGTTCAAAAAAAAAAAGTTCTATTCGAAAAAATATTTTTATGATTTTTAGAAAAAAAAAAAAGACATGTTTGCAAACGATGACGAAGATGATGATTATAATAATGAAAGTTATGATGAAGATCAACCACAAGGTTATCAAGCATTATTAGATCCAGATGATGACGAGTAAAACAAAACTAGTTTTAGATTGCATTTAACAAAAAAAAAAAAAAAAATCTCTATTCATTTGTTTCAGAACTTTCACAATAGAAGAAGAAGAAGAAGATGAAGGTGATGATCATGAACAAGAGATAGAGCCTGCTGAAGAAGAAGAGGAAGAAGTAGCTGTTGATGATGGTCAAATAAAACCATTTACTTGTAAATTATGTTCTGTATCCTTCAGTAAATTCGAAGCATATCGTGAACATTTTATATCTACAGAACATCGATATAAACGACGAGATGAAAAAAAACGTCTTGGAGTTTGTTATTGATTTTTGATATGTTGTTTAATAATAATATTTTCTATTTTATTTTTAAGGAAGGATGTGTCATTGAAACATCATCAGTTGAAATATTTGTTAATTTATTACTCTATAATAAAGTAAAATATAACAATTAATATTAGAAAAATAAATTTCATTGAAATTTTTTTAGATTCCATTTGAAAGTATTCAAATTGATATTCAACCTGTTGATTTTAGTGTAAGTGGTACATTAGAATATAATAATACTAAATATGAATATCAACATGCATCATCACTTAATGATTTATATCAATTACTTGTTAATAAATTTAATCAAGATTATGAAAAACATCAATTAAAAATGCCACCACAAAGTTTTTTTGTTGCACGAGGTAGAAGAAGATAATACAATTCAACAGAAATTATTTATATTGAATATATTTAGATACTAGTCGAAAAGAAATAGATAATATATGGACTGTATCACGTTATTGTGATGATACAGAAAAATCTGATGGACAAATTATTAGAGTAAGAAGAAAAAGAATTTTATATGTATATGTTTCCGTTCACTCAATACAATCGTAGAGTTTATGATTTTTGATTTCGACAATATAGAACATAGTTCGATCCATGTATAGTCCTGGACAAAAGTAGCTGCCACTATGAAATATTTGTATTCTTTATGATATTCAGCTGATAGACCCAGTGCATACGAGTAACAATAAACTCTGATGTCAAGCACCAGCCTACCCTCAATCGGTTAGAATTCGACAGGCTCTATCATCGATCCATACATCCTTTTTCTCTTGTGAAAAACTTATTCAATGAAAATATGCAATTAAAAACTTTTTGTTTCTCAATTTGCTATTCCACAAGCTATTATTGTGTTCTTTTATCTGTAAAAATAGTTCTATAGGTTTATTTTATTGTCTATGAAAGCTGCTTGTTTCTAGAAAAAAAATTTCTCTAGAATTGTGAATGTACAAGACTAATTTTTCGAGGTATTCTCTGATGACTATAATCGGTAAAAAAAAAAGCAAAATAGCTTTAGAAAACAACTTTGGGGAATTATTGATAAAAGATGTCGAGGAGACGCAGGGAGGAAAATGGATCAAACACATTTGAATATCCGGCCACTTATTACGATTCTTTTGTTGGTGTTTAAATATTTTTCACAAAATTTTCAAGCTAAATGAGTTTTAAGCAGCATGTCGAAAAGAACAACTTTTTAGAATTTTATGATGCATGATCTGTAAATTAATCATCTACATCATTCGTCTATTACAAAAAATGCTAGTATATTGTAAGAAATAGGCTCTTTCTAACATAACTAATAGTGCAAATCCCTACGGAATTAAAATATAAATTACGATGTATGTGTTTTTGTCGCTCACAAGGTAGATCGTTCTATTCTATCCATTTTAGAATGAAATTCTTCACCATCGAATCTTCCAGAAATGCAAAATGGAAATAGCTCATATATATTAGAACGTGAAGTTATCGATATACCGCTTTTAATCGTTTATCAATAACGTCTGTCACGGTCTATATAGAGAGAGGTTGAGTCCAACTTTGTATCTCTATACCTCGAACACTCCTTTTAGATCGTGTTTCACGAAAACTTTGGAAACTTGATGTCATAGAGTCGGTTTATGAATGGTCCCTATGCTATATCTTTTCCCAATTGTTTGATAGCAATGAAGTTGTGCATTTCAGTGACTGTGTTGAACAGCAGGCACAGATATTAATTTTTGCAATAAAACTTTAAGAATAAACCTAAAAGTCTCATATTAATCCTTTGAACTTTTAAAAAGATACTCACATTTGTTTTTCGTTCGATCTTTCTGAATACTCCGTACATATGTTCTTTATTTCATAAATATCAACATTTTTTTAGGAAGTCTTAGACTATTGTGTTTACACAACTGTTGAACCAGAACGTGAACGTTTAATAGCACATTCAATTCAAACATGGCGTATGTTTCATCGGCAAGAAACTAAACCAGGCTTTTGGTTAGTATTTTAAAATGAAATTTTCTTTTGTTAAGATATTTCTTTTTAAGGTGTGATATTTGTAAACAATGTTTTCGTAAACGCAAAGCGATTATTTGTGTAAGTAAATACTAATAAAATAAATCTTGTTCTTTTTCTAATTAAATTTTGTTTTTCTAAAAAAAACCAAGCATTTTGAAACAAGTGAAAAACATGATAATAATTTAAAACGTCTTCCACCATATCGACGAGCTGTTCAACATGTAAATTTTTCATAAAAACAATGTAAAATTTCATTTCAATATGAAAATTTTTTATTTCTTAGAGTTTATTTACTGGTCGTTTATTAAATGAATTTATTCCAATTGATAAATTGAATTATTATCGAACACGAGTTAATGCTTATCGAATTTTACCATCAAATAAAACTATTAAAAATGCATATTATTGCACATTCTGTAAGAAATCATTTGAATCAGCATATACACTTGAAAAAGTACTGAATTAAATTTATTAAAAGTGAAATAAAAAAGATTTAATACTCTTATTTAGCATCTTGGTTGGAAAGGTCATCGTGATATATTACGAAAGCGTCGACAACAAGAACTTGATAATTTACCACGTCTTGTTGTAAATATAGAAAGCCATTACTTCTTTTTGTTTCATTGAATTTTTCCATTGATTTTGTATTTCTTAGACTTATTTAAATTTCAATCAATTAACGCATGAACAACGTAATGGTGGTATTCAACAAATGCCTAAAACACCAGATGAATATCGATTAAAATATAATCTTGAACCTATAACAATTGAAAGTATTCATAATGATATTATGCGTTTTGATACACAACTTGCACAACAAGTTATGAACAATATTCATAATCAACAAGGAAATAATAATAATAACAATAATCGATTTAATCATGGTAATAGTAGAGGTCGAGGACGTGGACGTGGAAGACAATCATTTCGTGGTCAAACATTTCGAGTACGACCTAATTTTCATCAACAAAATGCACGAAACTTCAATCCAGGTAATTGAAAATATTTAAAGAAAAAGATAAAGAACTGTTGCGGATTTTATGATCTATTTTGAATCAAGATATCATATAAATGTCGATATCATTGGAATTCATGGAATTTTCTAATGGAAACTGATGCAAATCTCTGTTTTTAAACTCAATTCGATACAGTTATAGGTGCTCTTTATTTTTCTATAATCAGTATTATTAATTGTTGCTTTCTCCATACTTAACAAGGGTCTGTTTTTGAAGGTCTCATTTACTTTTTGACTATTCAATTTTGCAGTATGTTCAATAGTGTGCTACAGAGCGAGTACCAACATGAAACTTTCTAAAAAAACGACACCCTATTGAACTTCATAGGCTACAAACAGTATAATTCTTGAAACAGAGGGGGGGGGAGGTCATCGTTTCGTAGAACGGCATATTTTCCAATATGTGAAAAGACTGATATATTGACAATGTTTTAACAATATTCAATGGTTCTGTTAAAAATTTTTATATACTAATAATCAGCACAGCATCTCTGATAAACTGATTTAATTAATTCCTGTATGAATGAAAAACGAAAATTTTAGATCTTCCAATCCCTGACGAAAAGTATCGGAATAGGATTGACGGTAGGAAGGCTGTTACATTTATTATTGATTTTATAAAATTTTGTTCTGAATATTCAGATTTGACTTTTTGTGTGAAATTCTACATGAGTAAAAGTTTCAAATAGGCTCATTGCGATTGTTTAAATAACACTAATATACTAGCTACTCCCGATCGCACAATAGGCTGTTCTAGGGAACGAAGAAGTCCTTATTATTGCGAAAAATTTCATGTATGAAACATATCAGAACTCGATAATATGCAATTTTTGAGAAATTTTTATATTCTTAACCACTTGTTCTATGACACAGTGTTGAACATGCGGAAATATAATGCAGTAAAGAAATAACCTAAACATTAGAAAAGGAACTATTTTGAAGCATAAAAAAAGCAATGATCACAATAGAGCTGAAAAAAAATGTTTGCATAGTTTTCTCTTAAAATATCATATGGTTTACAATATCTACGATACCCTATAATATTTACAATATCCGGTACAAAGCCACTTTTATAACATTGTTGTTCAGCATAGATCACCAAATCCAGCAGAATCCTTTTGAACTCTTTTTTTTCCCTCTATTTAGAACAATATAATCATCAAACAAATTATCAACCTCGATTATTCTATAACAATAACAATAATAATCCCACAAATCAGTTCTATCCACAAAATAATTTCCATCTACCAACAACATTTCGTCCACGTAATTTTAATGTTTTACTCATAGCTATTCAATTCATTTTATTCATATTTTTTTAGAAAATCCAAATTTCAATAATAGTAATAATAAACGTCCTTATCAACAAAATAATAATAATTATTACAATCAACGACAATCATGGCCAAATAAGAAACCTCGATTTGATCGACCATCACCATATCAACAACAACCATCATCATCAAACCGAATTGATTATCGTTATATTGCTAATCAAAATACTTATCAACAACAGCAGCACTTTCCTTAATACTGCTTCTTGTTAAGTAGTCAGTAGTTTCGTCTAGAGAAAAATTGTTATATGGTGCTTGATTTCTTTATTGTTATACAATAGATTCATTGTTGTTAGTGCCGATTATTGTTAATAAGAAATAAACGAGCTTAAAATTTTTCATTTATACATTTTTGCACATTAGTTTTGTTTATCTAAAGGATGTTCCAAACTGATTTTTTTGTATCCGAGATGCAGACCATGGTTGCTCCACTCTCACCGCATTTCTTATTTCTCTAACAAAGGACTGCGTCTTAACTATAGAAACGATTCATCTCGAATATCATTCTAGTCAAAAAATGAGTGAAAGCTGTTTATTGAAACATATTTGGCATCAAAAAATAAAAAGCTCGAACAACATATGATAAAAATATTTAATCAGTTTTTTTTATAAACTACCATCATCATGTCCATGTGA